GACTCTGCAGACAGTTGGTGACTTTTGAGCACTGTGCGCTTCAGCATACGCTGAGCTCGCTCTGTCATTTTACGTGGCCTACCACTTTGTGGCTGAGTTGCTGTTGTTCCCAGTTGCTTCCACATTATCATAATACCACTAACAGTTGACTGTCGAATATTTAGTAGCAAGGAAATTTCACAGATATACTTATTGCACAGGTGGCAACCTATCATGGTACCACGCTTGAATTCACTGAGCATATATCTATTATGACTTTGGCCTGTGTCTGTAGCTGGTCTGGCTTTGACCAACCCCCCCCCCCCCCCAATTCATGTGTTCCTTATCAGTTTCTAATTGGGGTGGGGAAGGATTCCTCATTTGATCATCTCCCTACGTATTTTAGACCAATTTATTGGGGAAGTCACAGACGGGGTACAGTCACAGATAGGGTATTGTCCTACGTGTGTGCATATTCTTCTGGAGTGCGAAGCAGCAGTTGAACACAGCAGTTTACCTAAAGCAAGATAACTAAAGCAGCAGGAGGATACAACAAAGAGCTCTACTGCACTCTTAATGGACTGCAAGCAAAACGCCCTGGGATGTATCTCCTACAAGTCTGATTCTCACTACATGTACCTTTTTAATATGCCCCCGCTACTCCTCCTTTTCATGTTCGTATCCTCTGTTCTCAAAATTTCATTTCTTTACCCCTCTGCTCCACCCCAAAGCTTATACATATCACCCTAACTTCTTCCATCTCTCTACTACCGCTCTCATCACCTCCTGCTAATACTTAACCCACCTGCTGACCCACATACCAGGACAGAAAGATGTACCCTCAGTTACATCCCACTTCTGTCTTACTTTCCTCATCCTCTCTCTTCTCCTAACCTCTGGGGATATCTCCCGAACACTGGTCCTCCAGTATCTCACCCCCCTGTGGTTAAAAAACCACCCTCCCTTTCATCTGCACTGTGAATGTCCACTCTATCTGTAACAATCTCACCTCTGTCCATGACCTTTTTGTCTCCCACTCCCTTAACCTACTAGCAATTACAGAAACCTGGCTTCAAGCAGCTGATTCTGCTTCTCCCTCAGCACTTTCCCATGAAGGCCTCCACTGGACTCACTCGCCCAGACCCAGTGGTCGGAAAGGAGGTGGAGTTGGTTTGCTTTTATCCCCACTGAGTACCTTTCAAATCCTCCCTACCCCTCCCTCTCTATCTCTCTCTTCTTTTGAGACTCACTGTATTCGGCTGTTTTCTCCCATTTCTCTGAGGATTGCGGTGATCTATCGGACTCCTGGACTGGTGTCGCGCTTTCTTGATGACTTCTCTGCCTGGCTACCCTACTTTCTCTCCTCTGAAATACCCACTGTCATTCTTGGTGATTTTAACTTTCCTATTAATGTTAACAACCCAGCTACTTCCCAACTCTTCAACCTAATCTCATATTTTGCCCTAACAGAATGGACACAGTCCTCCACTCACTCTGATGGGAATACCCTAGACCTTGTTATCTCCCATCTTTGCACTCCCTACAACCTCACCAACATCCCCTTTCCTCTCTCTGATCACAATCTCATCACCTTCACAGTGTCTTCGACTTGAAACACCTATTCCTCCAAGCAGCAATCACCTGCAGAAACCTTTACAACTTTAACCCTTCTCTTTTCTACTCTGCATCCGACCACCTCTATGACAGAATCTCTCCTCTGTCCTGCCCTGCCCTGACCTGGCCACTTCTGTCTACAACAGTTTGCTTTCTTCCACACTAGACTCATTTGTTCCTCTAACTAAATGAAGTATCAAGCCCCGACCATTACAACCTTGGCAGACTGATGACACCAGAAATCTTAAGAGACATAGCCGTGCACTGGAGCGATTGTGGTGTAAAACCAAATCCCAGCAAGCATTCACCCTATATAAATCTGCTTTCTTAAAATACAATTCCTCCCTCCCTGCTGCCAAACAAGCCTACTTTGTCACTCTTTTTACTACCTTGTCATCCAGTCCTCGTCATCTCTTCTCTGCTTTTAACTCTCTACTTTATCCACCGCCACCTCCACCCAGTAACTCACTCACTGCTTACGAGATTGCCAATCATTCAAATACAAGATTTAAGCAATTTGTGAGGGCATCTCCACTGCACACACATCTATCCCACATATCATACCTTATAATAAACCTCCCTTAACACTTCCCTCTTTTGACCTTGCTACTACTGAAGAGGTCACTAAAGTTTTCTCAGAACCCTGTGTCACCATGTGTCCCCTGGATCCTGTTCCCTCGCAACTATTACTGTTACCCTCTTCTATCCTATGCTCCCTCACTCACATCTTCAATCTCTCCCTCTCTACTGGCATCTTCCCCTCCCCTCTAAAGCATGCACAGATCACTCCCATACTTACTTAAAAAGCCCTCACTGGACCCCAGAAACCTGAACAACTTAAGACCCATTTCCCTGCTCCCGTTTACCTGTAAACTTTTAAAACGCCTAGTCTACAATTGCCTGAGCACTTACCTCACTGACAACAACCTTCTTGACCCATTATAGTCTAGTTTTTGCTCACTCCACTCCACTGAAACTGCCCTACTAAAACTCCCTAATGATTTACTAACTGCTAAAATTAATTGCCACTAATCCATACTCTTACTAATTGACCTCTCTGTGGCTTTTGATACTGTTGACCATCCCTTTTTCCTCAAAAAACTCCATTTTCTTGGCCTCCAAGACTCTGTTCTCTCCTGGTTCTCCTCCTTCAGTGTTGCCTATAACTCTGTCTCCTCCTCTCCACTTCCTCTTTCTGTAGGAGTCCCTCAAGGGTCTGTCCTTCGATCCCTTCTGTTCTCCATCTACACCACTTGGTCACTTGATAAGCTCCCATGGCTTCAAGTACCATCTCTATGCTGATGACACACAAATCTATTTTTCTACTCCTCATCTCACCCCTTCAGTCTCCTCTCGCATTACTAACCTACTAAGTGACATATCAACATGGCTGTCACTCCACTTCCTCAAACTCCAATCTTTCTAAAACTAAGCTCATAATATTCCCTCCAGCCCATGCCCCCTCCCCTGACTTCTCCATCAAGATCAATAATACAACCATCAGTCCCTCCCCTCATGCTAGGATACTGTGTAATCATGGACTCCCATCTGTCCTTTCAGCCCCAAATCCAATCACTGTCCAAATCTTGTAGACTTCACCTCTGTAACATCTCCAAGAAACGCTCATTTTTAACCACCGGAACACCAATCTTGTCTCCAAATATCACCCAAACTGTTCTCTCTGCTCCTCCCACGACCTCCTGCTCTCTAGCTCCCTTGTTTCCTCCTCCCGTGCTCATTTCCAGGACTTCTCCAGCCTCTGGAATTCTCTACCCTAACCTATCCAACTATGCTCACTTTTAGGCGATCTCTGAAAACATAACTCTTCAGGGAAGCCTATCTTGCCTGCAGCTAATAACCAAATATTATATTTCTCCCATCAGTTCGTCCCCTACAGTTATTACCTTTTGTACCACTAGCCCCTCCCTCTTAGTTTTTAGGCTCCAAGGAGCAGGGCCCTCCTAACCCTCTTGTATTGAACTGTATCGTTGCTGTTTTATCTCTCTTTATATTGTAAAGCGCTGAGCAAACTGTTGGCACTATATAAATCCTGAATAATAATAATAAATAAGTTTGTCAAATACCGTAAGAGATTAGCAACATTCTCTGTGAGATCCAAATGGAGGTCTTCAGCTGCTTAGAAAAATATAACCAAGTGAACAACACGCTTCCAAACAAAATCTCATAGGGAGATAGTTCATATATTCCCTTAGGGGCTTAATATAATAGAGGACATTCAGGCTATAGTTTTCTAGTTTCTGAGATCCCCTTAGTTCTTTCTACTTTTTTTCCCCACTACATTGTGAATGGTAGGGGCTGTAAAATAAATCCTCAAAACGTCTTGGAAGAACTATTCTTTAAAATGAGTTCCTCTGTTACTCTCTGTAGCTTCTGGGACTCTCTACTTACAAACTACTTCTGATAACCTTTTTTTACTGTGGCCTTTGCAGTAGCATTTGCCATCGGCCAAACTTCTGGCCATTCAGAAAACCTGTCCATACAGACCAGTGCATACTCTTAAGATCTTGACTTGGGAATCTGGATATATCCTTTTGGAAGGGATGTTCAGTTTTTGGTAACAGGTAAAACAAGAAGCGGTATATTCAAAAACAACTGTGGTGAACTATGGTGCTATCCCATGCTCATTTACTAAGGCAGCCTTTGGCAGCCAACTGCTTTTGACTGATGACATGGTCCTTGTGTCAAGCTGCAGGGAACAGAGTGCCTGGCAGACATAAAAGATCACCTTTTTTCAAAGTCCTGTTTCATAAGAAGTTACCCCCACTGTGGACCACTTGTTGTTCTTGTTCTGGGGTCCTCAAAGTTTAACCGCTAGCCTACAGGGCACTTATACCCCCTTCCTGCCCTGGCCAATTTCCAGCTTTCAGCTCTGTCGCACTTTGCATGACAATTGCGCGGTCATGCAACACTGTACCTATATGAAATTTTTATCATTTTTTTGTGACAGAGCTTTATTTTGGTGGTATTTAATCACCTCCGGGTTTTTTATTTTTTCTTAAACAAACCAAAAACCACTGAAAATTTTGGAAAAAAAAATGTTTTTTCTTAGTTTTTGTCCTTAGATTTTTCTCCTTCACTGATGTGCGCTATTGAGGCTGCACTGATGGGCACTGATAGGCTGCACTGATGGGCACTGATAGGCTGCACTGATGGACACTGATAGGTGGCACTGATGAGGAGGCACTGGTAGGTGGCACTGATGGGCATTGACAGGCATCACTGATGGGCACTGAAAGGCAGCACTGATACATGGCACTGATATACGGCACTGATAGGCAGCACTGACTGGCACTGTTAGGCCTTACTGACTGGAACTGTTAGGCGGCACTGGCAGGCACTGATAGGCGGCACTGATGCGCACTGATAGGTGGCACTGATTGGCAGCACTGATAGGTGGCACTGATTGGCATTGATGGGTGACACTGAAAGGCAGCTCAGATGGGCACTGATATGTGGCATTGATGTGCACTGGAATGCGCTGATATGTGGCACTGATGGACACTGGCACGAGGCACTGATGAGCACTGACATAAGGCACTAATGGACACTGACAGGTGGCACTGCTGGGGCTACACTGATCATCGGGGCACACTGATCATCAGTGCCCTGATGATCAGTGTACATGTCCCCTCCGCGGAAAGCCGATTACCGGCTCTCCTTTCCTCTCGAGCTGTCAGTGTGACAGCTCGAGAGGAGAGAAATGCCGGTAACCGGCATTTCCCTGTTTACATGTGATCAGCTGTGATTGGGCACAGCTGATCACATGACCGAGCCGACATCTTCGGCTCTTTCCGTGATTGGTGATCCGCTGTGTCCGAGGGACACATCGCACCGCCGATCGCCGCGCATGCGTGCTCCCTGAGTCGCACATGCGCAGTGAGAATGGGAGGACGTCCTCCCAGAACGAGAGAACCACCTTGCACCCGTCATATTACTATATGGCGGGCGGGAGGTGGTTAATTAATAATCCCAATTGTACTGGGCCAGAACTAGAGTGGAATGCACAGAGTTGCACAGACCCAGCAAGTGTTTAATTTTAGTATGGCTACCTGAGCAAGAAGCTGGAGGGCTGAAGACAGCCAGTCATTTAACTTAGCATGCTTAATTGGTTTACCTGCCCGAGTAGAAAAACTTCCAGCCCTTCAAATGAAACCAAAAGTATGCACCACCCTAAAAGCCTTCTAATTCTCTACTATCTATATAAATGTACTGTTAATCTTTTGATAGCTCACAGGCTTTGCTAAAGCATGGAGCTCTGATTCTTGAACTGGGAAAGAAGAATCCAATGACTGAATACAGTGCGTCCTTCTGGATGATAACTGCATATTCAGAATGGGTCTTGCCATCCTCGTTAATAAAACTGGGATCCATCTACAAAAGATCAAATATCTGGGGGGTAGGTATGACATTTATATTACAATTTTACTTTTATGGTAACAATGGGCATGACATAGGCAGGCTAATTTCTAATCAGATCTTTAAAGAATGCAAACGTAATCAAAACCTTAGTGCCATGTGCACAATGAGTGCAGTGTGCAAAGTACAGGCAAAGCATACAGAATAGAATACAATTTTTTTACAGAATTTACAAGTTTCTTTTATACTATTTTAATCCTTCTGCTGCAAACCTTGGTAAATTAATATGAAGGTAAATTAAATTTCTTTGTTTTAAACTTTTTTTTTTTAAAGATTTCTTCAGTTGCTTCCTGTTTTCTGGCCTAGGTCAATACGTTGCCATACTTTCCAGGAGTCTTCTCTTGGGCATTTTGTTCTTTAATCTGGAGGAGGGTTTTCTCAGCTGGGCACACCCTCCTGACTGCATGCCTGAGCTGAGGGCAGAGGGATTCCAGGAAGTAGATGCTACATGAATCATATGCTTTTTCTACTATGTAACTATGTATATTAACCCCTCATTTCCCTCATTTCCCTGATTTCTGCACATCTGATCATGGCACATGTGAACCCCTTTCATTTCTTGTATGTATGACCTATGCTGCTGCTGTATCTAATGCATTTACATACAATTGTGGCTACAAGTGAGGGCACCTTGGGTGTTTATTTTCCATAAAAGGGTAGTTATCAGTGACTTGCAGTCCAGTGTTAACAGTCGTATTATTTGTGCATTATTCTTTTAAAACATCTGTATCTGCAGCATTTTGAGTTCTAAAGTGAGTCTTGTAATGCCAAACTGAAATTCCCTTTTACTTTATTTTAGGAAAAACTTTGGGAGTTTACTTCAGACACTCGGCAGGCACCAAAACAAATGGCCTGGTAAATGCATCTCTTTATATATTCAATTCTGCTGGGGAAAGCAGGGGGGTTGTCTTGGAACCACGTTACATTGTACATCCTGAATATAAGTGCAATATGGTAAGAAATGTGGAATTATTCTTTGAAGAAAAACTCATATAAGATTTCTATCTACTTATACAGTACAGGACACAAGCTTGATACTGATAGGCCCTGGGTTAGAGGCTGGTACCTTCAAGTGATTTGACACTGGCAAAGCTTTGAGGACATGACCCCTGGACACACCCCTATAACCCTACCCCACTCAGTGATTGCTCAGTTTTTTGCTAATGTCCCAAAGTGATGGACCTCTTCTCCCTTACTGAAAAATCACTAACTTAACGTATCCCTTTTTTATTTCAATCAACCCTTTAATTGCCACTTTACTGTCTTCTAATACAGCAATTAAAGGATAAGTTCACCTTTAAAAAAAGTAAATGCACATCTTTTTGCAGGTAAAAAAAAAATGTGCATTTTTTTTTTCTTAAGAACCTGCAAAGCATTGCAACCTCGATCAGCAGATCACGGGTGCAATGCAGGGCTCTTGCAGACTGTCAGTGTAAGCTGTCTGCGTATACTGTATTTCGTACATGCAGGCAGTTACACATTGACATCAATCATCAGTGAACTACCTAGAGTCTTCAACAGCTCCTGGTAGTTTATTGATGCGGCTGTCGGTACTTGTAGTTTATTCAGTCACAGAACTTTGTGAATGAATGGCACGTCGCGTCTGTGCTCTATTCAAATGGTGACAGAGAGTACAGGGAGGAGATCCCTGACCTGCTGTCACAAAGAGCACGGGTATTGCAGGGAAAAGGCTGCAGAAGCGGGAACATGTTACGTGTTTCACCCTAAAAACAGGTGCAACATGTAACCTTTTCCGAAGGGTGAACTTATCCTTTAAAGTAGTGAATCCAGATCGGTGCAATCTCAGGAAAACTTTGGGAGCTGTACCTGGAACCCACACAGGATGGATGGCCATGGGAGATAGGTTCTAGTACTGGACCCTGCTTGGGCACTCACCTGGGCACTTGGTGTAATGTGTAGTTAGCTGCAGGGTGCTATAGAGATCCAAGGCTGCCGTCTATCCCTATGGAAACCGGACCCTGAAGACCCCCTTCAGGGGTATGCGTACTAAGATGAGTGAAGTCTAGATCCTATATAGGGAGCAGTTTCATGGACAGGTAAGGTATGCTTTGACTGGTACTTTTAGTCTTACATAAAATATGTGACAAAATATCTCTATTTGCTTTATCTCCTAGATTGTAAGCTCGAAAGAGCAGGGCCCTCAATCCCCTCATGTTTTGCATGTTATTGGTATTGTTCTGTCACATGTTCTGTCCCCCTCTGTAATGTACAGCGCTGAGCGAACTATTGGAGCTTTATAAATACTGTATAATAATAATAATATAATAATACTATTTATGTGTATCCCAGTTAGTATGCATTTATACATTAAAACTGTCCGGAAATACACATGATATTATTGCACTGATCCATACAGACTTGGACTTCCCCTATTAGCATCTGGCCTCCTTTTATGATTCAGAGTCCTGCGGCAGGAATAGCAACTTTTGCAGTGTTTATTTGAAAATCTGACTGTCTGGTCATTTTCACGGTGGCCACTGGGGGTAGTGTGCTGTTTGGTCTAGCCGGGCCATGCTCTGTGTGTCTCTGAAGGAGCACTGGGCTGCAGTTTTTTTTCTCCAGCCACTAGAGGCTGTGGGGCCACTCTGTATAGCCTACTCTTGTGCAGTAGAGGTAGGAAGTAGAGGGGTGGCCATTTTGGCTTATGGTTTAAATCACATGTGGGCTGGAGGATAAGTGAGGGCTCCTGAGAGATAGCAGGGAGAAGGAGCAGTCTATGGCTAGAGGATGATGTGTGAGTACTACCTGTGGCGAAGCTGCATTACCAGACAGGACACGATTATACACTGAACTAGTCTGCGTACTTGAGGCTGCATTCAGGCTGTGTTTGTTGCATATGTGCTTGGTCAGCCCTGTGAAACTAGTATAGTGTCAAATGCAGTTAATTTTGACACAGTTCTTTGATGAAACAATACTCTTCTAGAAAGCGGAACAGTGTATGTGTAGCATTGTATTACCTTAATGTTCCTTTGCTCGGTTTCAAGTTTAAAGTGAAATATAGGAAGCAAAAAGTATCCTTCAAAATGTCTCTGCATGAGGATATGGTATCTACATTGAAGCGGTTTCCTACTTGCAGTTCCACTCCAGAGGAACATTCTGTCTGTGTGGATCATGAAGGTCACAGAGGGCTTTGTCCCTGGGGTATTGCAGAGTCCAAATTGCTGGTTGTTATCCAGTATTGTGGAGCTTCGAGCATGATGCTTTGGATTATTGGACGAACCAGTTGCACACGTTGTGTCAGGCTTCGGTCCGACAGTGCCACTGCAGTGCCATAAATTAACCACCAGGAGTTGTGCGGTAAGGAAAAGGTGAACCACATTCTGTGTGGAGCAGAACCGCATGTGCTGTCTCTGCCGGCAGTATCTATTCCAGGTATAGAGAACTGGCAGGGGTGTTTTTTTCCCAGAGGTCAGTGGCTAATACCGGGAGAGTGGTCCCTGCCTCCCGAGACATTTTCGGCAGTTGGGCAACTTTTGGATGTGGGTCTGCTGACTTCCATGTTCTACAACAAGTTAGGGTCCCACTGACAATAGGGGTAGGTGCACCTATTGTCTTGGGTCCAGTATTGTATCCTGCTTTACAATTGCTAGGATGGAAGGCTTGGCTTAGTAATTTGCGGTCTGGTCTGGAAGCCCAGGTCTTGAATGATCGGGGAGTCTTGGGTCCTGTTTTCTACGCACTGTTGAGTGCCAGGAAGCTGGCTTCAGGGAACCTCCAGTACACGACCTGGAAATCGTATTTGCATGGTGTGAAGCCAGGAAGTGGAATCCGCATAAATGTGTGATTGGAAGGTTTTTGTCATTTTTCCAGTCAGGAGCAGAAATGAAATTGGCCTTAAGTAGTACCAATTAAGGGTCAGATTTCAGCGCTATCCCTTTTTTCCCAGAGACAGTTTTTTCTAATTTCTTGATTCGTACTTCATGCACGGTGTAACACGGACCGTCTTGTCTGCCAGGACACCCTTGTGTCCTTAGGACTTGGTCTTGACTGTCCTTGAAGAAGCCACCTTTTGAACCAATTCAATAAACTTAAAACAGAACTCTAGGAAAGAACGTCTTTACATGTCCTTTTTAGTGTTCATGTCCTTTTAACTGTTTAGTGTTTTGTATGGGGTGGGGTACTATTGGGTGATATTTTTGCCTGTCCTAGATTTCTTCTTTAATTCTTTGACTCAAAAGGTGACTTCTTTTGTTACTATCACTTCGGCAAGAAGAGTGTCAGAGCTGGTGGCCCTTTCATGTAAGGAGCTGTTCTTGGTC